ATTTTTAGTAGAGATGGGGTTTCGTCATGTTGGCCAGGCTGGTCTCGAACTCCCAACCTCAGGTGATCTGCCCGCCTTGGCCTCCCAAAGTTCTGGGATTACAGGCGTGAGCTGCCACGCCAGCCGGCCTTTTTAACCATGTCATACAAACTACTTATAGTACAGCTAAGTACATACACAAAAAAGTTACTGGAATGGTGGGAATAAGATTGCTTTTCTGTTGTCGTTTTTGCTTTCTTTTACAAGTTTTTTTTTTTTTCTCCTTTGAGATTATAATGAACGTGGTCACAGTCACACCACAAGTAAAGTCAGAAGTAGGACAGAGAACGGTCCGAAGGCTGCTTTGGTCATCCGAGATCATTAAAAGTGGCTGACCCTAACAATATGTACAAAAATATAAAATGTAAATAAAAAACACAGACAAATTTCTTTTCTTAAAGTACTTTTAAGAAAAAAATCAGGGCCTTGGAAATTTTGGTTCTTTTTCCTCCCTTGTTGCAAATTCTTACGGTTTGGGTTGGGTGGTGGAGAGTGTGTGTCATCTGTGGGTGGCACTGCCCATGGCGGGCGGGCCTCAATACTGCAAGGTGACCACCTTTAGATTCTGAGACAGGAAATGGAGGGTGAATAGGTCACGGTGGCCTTTTTTTTTTTTTTCAGTTTAACTTTTCCTTTTTTGCTGTCTAGTCATCCTTGTCGGTCTTCTGCTTGTTGGTATGGACATCATCATCCTCATCATCTTCAGCTGCCGGCTTGCCTGTAGCAGACTCAGCTTCCTCGTCTTCATCTCCATCCTCTTCCTCACCATCACCTTCTTTTTCCTCCTCCTCTTCCTCCCCACCTTCTTCCTCTTCCTCATCTACCTCATTGTCAGCCTCCTGCTCTCTATTTTCCTCATTAGCATTCCCATTAGCAGGGGCGTCTCTTCCATTTTCCGCCTCTTCCACAACTTCCTTCTTCTTTAAGTCCTTGGTGATGATTTCGGAGCTGGTGTCTAGGGCTGGGGCACGTTGGTGATCTGATGCAGGGGATTAAAAAGAAAGCGAGAGCTGGGCACCGTGACTCACACCTGTAATCCCAGCACTTGGGGAGGCCGAGGCGGGTGGATCACGAGGTCAGCAGATCGAGACCATCCTGGCTAACACGATGAAACCCCGTCTCTACTAAAAAAACAAAAAAAAAAAAAAAATAGCCGGGTGGTACAAAAAAATTAGGCAAGCGTCTGTAGTCCCAGCTACTCGGGAGGCTGAGGCAGGAGAATGGCGGGAACCCGGGAGACGGAGCTTGCAGTGAGCTGAGATCGAGCCACTGCACTCCAGCCTGGGCGACAGAGTGAGACTCCTTCTCAAAAAAAAAAAAAAAAAAAACACACACACACACAAAAAAAAAAAAAAAAAAAAAAAAACACACACACACACACAAAAACAAAACAAAACAAAAAACAAAAAGGAAGGAAGGAAGGAACGTGAGCACGCACAGTTCA